TAGTAGGACCACCCAGGCTCCTCCTACACACAGAGTTTTAAGTTTCTAGTGCCAATGATATCTTAATTTGGTACTGGCCAGATACTCAACTCACTCTGAAAACTGAATTTAATGAAAACCAAAGTGTGAGAGGTTACAGTTCGTTCTTGACAAAGACTAGGTGCCAGCTAGGTTGAATATTACCCACATCTAGCAACTTTCCTACTAACAAAATAAAAAATAAAAATTACCAGCACATAAATAAATTATAAACACCAAAAATTGGGATAAAATGTCTCGTTTATCAATACTCCAGATGAAGAATATGCATGGACATCTTTGCAAATTTAATATATTCCATTTATTAATCATTAGCAAGCATGTTTTAGACTTGTGAGGGAGAAATAAAATTGGGTTTAGCATCCACTGGATACAGACTAGGTCATTTTGGGACTAACATATGGTGATGCATGTTTGGTCATCTTTACAAAGTTTATATATTCCATTCAGTCATCATCAAGGATGATTTTGAAGTTTAAGGTCCACTCAACACAAACTAGGTAACTTTAGGACTAACATATGATACAGTTTTATTTCAATAATTTGTGTGCGCGAAAAGAGATAATCCATGAGATTGGACAGACAACACTAGACCATGTTACCTACAAGCTTGTAATGGAAGCCACACCACTTAACTCTATGACATAACTTATGATCTAAATCGCATGGGTTAGATCGCTTTTGACTTGACCAAGGGACAGGTTTCACGAATGTCCAATGAAATTTACACAGAATAAATCATATATGAATATGATATAGTAATGAAATGAAACAGAAGATCACTACGTTGTCAATAGCTGCAGCATCTCTGTGCAGTACGTTCTCATGGCTGGAAATGTTCCGTGGACAACCAATCACAACTGTTACGTCGCTTGAAGAAAATGAAGTGTTTCTGAGGGATATACATGTTCGTGCGTGTAACAGGTTTTAAAGACGGGGGATTGTAGATGATCCAGTAGCACTGAGCCATACACACATGATTAGCATGACTACACATGCTTAAATTGATTACCATTATATCTTTCAAATTAACAATGGATGGAATGTTAGAATTGCATATGCACACATAGAGATGTTAAAGGAGCTAAATCGCTAATATTTGGGACCTACAAATTGACACAAATGGGTCGCAACGATATAATAATGTAATATGAATGTAAATAAGTCGTTTCCGTTTTTACTCTAATTTCAAAGCAGTCTCAATCGAATGGCAATCTCTAGCGCCTGGTTATTCCAGTCTACACTGATAGTATTTATTGCACATGCTTTCCAGATAAGAATATGGGGTCACCGTTTGACATGACTTGTGGAATATGTCTAACCTCGTTCTTCCGAGTCGCTTGTTACAAATTGCGCTGAAACGCATCATGGTACACGATTCGTGTACCAATCGTAAAATGTTTATTTTGTCATAAATATTGAATATCAGAAGCCCAGCTTTTCCCAGTAAGATCACAACACCAATGTTGATTAAAATTGACAAATAATTTGTGTTTTCATTGTCGAAGGTTTTGGATGATACTGGGTTAGAGACTTAGCTACTTTAAGAATGGCATTGTTCGAGGGGTGCGTCTCTTCACTGTCAACTATCTTCAAATGCCCGCTGATTATCACCTTTTATCACCCAATAATACATTCTGCAGTAGATATCGCTTGTGTGATAAATTTCATAATTACTGCAATATCATATCGCTTTACATGAATTTGATTGATCAGTTAAAAAGGAACTACTTTTTCTAATTTTCAAAGAACAGCTCATTTTTTTATCAAAAGTAACTTCTTTTTTTCGTATAATAATGAACTATGATCAGTAGTGGAATACCGCGTTTTATCAGTGAAATAAAAGTGTTATTCCACTGGCTAGTTGTTTTTACCTAAAATCATAAAATAAATAGAACATTTGTCGTTTTGTCGCGAATAACATATTTTATTTCATCTCTAAGCAAGAAAACGTTTATATTTTCACTCATAAGTTTTCTTGCTTCTCGATGAAATAAAATGTGTTATTCACTCTAAAACGACATCCTCTATTTATTTGACCATGATGGAAACACTGGGTCAATATAAAGGACTTTGCAATGGTTGAATTGCTGTCAAAAATGATGTATAACTACGTCGTAATGTAATCAGGTTCAGTAAAGAGAAAGCCACAGCAAACAATTATATTTATTTATTTGTGCATGTAAGAAAGGATTGGGTGATAAATAAAATCTCCTACTGTCTTTTTTGATATCAAAAATATCAACACTCGTCGATAAAGTAACAAAAAATCGGCATCGACTTGTGTTGATATTTTTTGATATCAAAAAATACTCGTAGGAGATTCTCTATTTCTTCCATGGTTGTTTTTTTTTTTGGTCAAAAATATTTTAGGAATTAGACCGCGCTTATTCCCATCTTTATTTAGAAGCCGATCAGTGTATAGAAACATTTGGAAGTTTTAATGGAGAGTTATTGAAAATCAGGAGACAACATACATTATATTGAAATCTACTGAAAGAGAGAAGATGACGTATATAGGCCACGAACATCATTGCAAAAATGGGGTCCCAAAACTAAGAACAGGCAGTTCAGAATCTAAGTAAGTGACACGTCTGCTCGAACATAGGTATATGCCGGAGTTTGGCATGTGCAGTTAGAATTATCCTGGAGTGTCATGAAACCTGTTGTGATCTATGCCATATTCCCCATCGGGGATTTCAATATGGAAAGCATGACGTTCTCCTAAACAAGGACACCACCAGATATTAAATGCCTCTCCATGAACTCTTAAAAATATCTTTTCTTGTGGTTCTTCTTACATGAGAATGTGGATATACGATGATCTGCTCCGAAATACAGATCTTAATAACCGTGGTCTGATCACTGCAAAATTATGCATGACTTATAATGATCAGTTATCCAGCGAGCGTGAAAGTCTGATTTTGTCACGTAAACGTTATAATTTTTGACCAAAATAACGAAACATATAGTAGTAATGGTGATGATAAGTGGTCATTTGGGAATAATCTTTGGTCATTGATGAAAGATGGGTTGTCAGGCAACAAAACATACGCCCACAGCAGCTAAAAAGACTGAGCGGTCGACAAGGATTGTCGCATATTTATTCCTTTGTAAATAATTGGGGGCCTTTACAAGACAGTTCCATACAGATCAGACTATATAATTTTTGTGGTTTGAGGGTTCACAAGGCTTTTTCATTTTACTAATTTAAATAATGCATATAAATTTCATACAGATCGGATAAACAAGGGCCATAATTGACGGAAATTGCTGAAATTCAATAGACCTCTGTTTCACAAATTTAAATGATGCATATAAATTTCATACATATCGGATGATAACTTTCATCAATCGAGCATTAACGCGGTTGAACAAAGTGAAACAAGGGCCATAACTCTAGAAGTAATTATTGCTGAAATAAAACAGGCTTCGTGGTTTCACTAATTTAAATAATGCATATCAATTTCATACAGATCGGATGATAACTTTTGGCGTAAGAGCGTTCACAAGGTTCAATAAAGTGAAATAAGGGCCATAACTCTAGACATAATAAACTGAAATTGCTGAAATTAAATAAGATTCTTCTTTCTACTAATTTAATTGATGCATATAAATTTCATACAGATCGACAGATAACTTTAGATGTTAGAGCATTCAGGAGGTGCAACAAAGTGAAACAAGGCCCATAACTCTAGAAGTAATAAACGCAAATTGCTGAAATTCAATAGGATTCTTCTTTTTACTAATTAAATTTCATACAGATCGGCAGATATGTTTTGATGTTAAGAGCATTCACAAGGTGAAACAAGGGCCATAACTCTAGAAGTTATTAACGGAAATTGCTGAAATCCAATAGGCTTCATAGTTTCACTAATTTAAATGATGCATATAAATTTCACAAAGATTGGATGATAACTTTCATCAATCGAGCATTAACAAGGTTGAACAAAGTGAAACATGGGCCATAACTCTAGAAATAATAAACGGAAATTGCTGAAACTCAAAAGGATTCTTTGCTTCACTAATTCAAATAATGCATATAAATTTCACAAAGATCGGATAATAACTTTTGGTGTTAGAGTGTTCACAACATTCAACAAGGGCCATAACTATAGAAATGAAATGAAATGGGGTTTAACGTCCTACTGTTCTGCTCCTATACTGGGCTAATGAAGACGGGCATACGCCATACAGTGTGCTATGAGGGAAATGTGGACGTATAAAAAGAAGAATCACATGGAAAATACTGATTTTTACACATTTTCAGAATGTTGTAGCACACTAGTGGGTTTAGTGTTGGTCAATTTGTTTCTTATGAACTGTTTATTTTCATGTGTAGGCAATTGGCCTGTTATTAACATACACTGGTTACCTCCAATAAAAACAGCAGTGTATTTCCGCAGCTGTGTATTGTTTCTGAATATCCCCTACTTTTTTTGAAGAGTATATTTAAAGGCAGTATAGATAGAATATTGGACAAGGTATAATTTTGAATTGAGCTGCATGCAGGAAAATGTATTATTTCACTGTTTATCGGAAAATTTGTTGTAATGCCAGGGATTTATTCAATGACTTTTTACATTTAACTAACAACAATTACTTTTGAATATTTACCTGCAGCAAATAAAATTTATTATGCAGTAACAGGCAGTATAATTGCTTCAGCTTATACCACAGGTTTGCAGTGTTTAAGTTCTGGTTTAATTCTTAAATTAGAGATTTTTTCATCTTTCTTGTCTGACTTTTAGGATATATTCCTTTCTGGGTTGCAGTTAAACACCTTGTGGTGTCTATCAAATAATTTGTCTTTCCTGTTTGTTTTACAGCTTTCAAGCCATCTTTTTAATTAGCACTAGCATCTGTGAAATCATCTGTAGCAAGAGCTATATATTACCTTCAAGGTCTATCATTTGCTTGGATAAAGACTAGTAAATGGTATTTAGTATCAAGTTCTGATGGATGAGAGAACTAGACGTTTATTTTAAAATATGAATAAATTTACATAATGATATTTCAAGGTAACTTAGCTACGAGAATGTAACTAACCAGCGGCTGCCAGGCAGGATACGCCCACATTTTTGAGAGATGGATAGAGAACAAACTAAAAAGAAAGTGATTTTTCCTACAATCAAGGGCCATAATTCAGGAAATTACAATTCGATATGCGCAAATATGGAAAGGAACTGAGATCTTTGTGTTATAAACTTACATTTCAAGTTTCAACAAAATCGGATAAAAATTGTGACCTCTATAGGGTCCACAACCTTGATATACCATATTCTTACGCTATTTGGGAACGAACGGCGGCCATTTTGTCTGTCAATTTTGGGCCGATTTTCACGAAATTCGAACTCAGTCATCCTTAGGGTGTAACGGTGATATAATAGTACAGTTTTTTTAAATCGGATAAAAATTATGACCTTTATAGGGTCCACAAGATAAAAACGCGATTTTTCGTACAATCAGGGGCCATAATTCAGGAAGTTACGGTCCGATATGCGCGAATATCAAAAGGAAACGAGATCTTTGTGTTATAAACTTACATTTCAAGTTTCAACAAAATTGGATAAAAATTGTGACCTCTATAGGGTCCACAACCTTGATATACCATATTCTTACGCTATTTGGGAACGAACGGCGGCCATTTTGTCTGTCAATTTTGGGCCGATTTTCACGAAATTCAAACTCAGTCGTCCTTAGGGTGCAACGGTGATATAATAGTACAGTTTTTTAAATCGGATAAAAATTATGACCTTTATAGGGTCCACAAGCTAAAAACACGATTTTTCGTACAATCAGGGTCCATAATCTATGAAGTTATGGTCCGATACATGCTAATATCGAAAGGAACCGAGATCTTAGGGTGATAAACCTATATTTCAAGTTTCATTGAAATCGGATAATTGTGACCTGTAGAGTGTTCACATACAATTGTGGACGGACTGACAGGGGCGACGACAATATACGTCCACATGAAAATGTGGGTGTATAAAAATTAATAATCCTGTGGCGCCTTTATATACAATTTATTGAGGTATCTCAACCCAAAACGTTATATTATTAAAAAATCTTCACTTCTACCAAGCCTGTTGAGCGAGGATTCTTTAATTTATTGTATTTACACCTTCGCCCCACCGGTATCTCTTTCTTGATCCAGTATTCACGCAGATGTTATCAGCCTGTCCAGCTTTAGTCACCCTGCTCAGGGAGTGTTGCCGTCCCTCTTCTCGCATCCATGTAATATAACAAGTAGCAATAAATATACATGTGCCTTAAATATACATTAAAATATACAAAATAATATAGATTATATAACTAGTGAGTCAATTAAAGAGTTTCATACATATGTATGCACTTTTAATCCTCTCTTCAAAACCTGTATTAGTGCTATCATCCTATTGAAATAAAATTGAACCACGTGTTAGTCCCAAAATGACCTAGTTTGTGTCGAGTGGAGTTGACCCCCCACCTCTCTCTCTCTCATCCTAGGTTTAAAATGGCTAACCCCCTTGAATAGGCTAAAAAATAAACAGTGTTGATTTAATGTGTTGATCTTCTCTGTTTAGAGGATAAATATTAGCATTAATAATTTTAGGTCCACAGAAAATAGATTCAATGATGAGATACAAAACTAAGATTTGTAAACAAATTATGGACATTCATTCAGTATTTCCAATTTCAAAAACTTGATTATTTAGATTTTGTCTAATCACTAATGGGAAAAAAACAAATTTAAACATTTTATTTTGACCTCAGAAATCGGATTACTGATATCAGGTAGAATCTGGAATATCAACATGATACTACCCTTTAAACTTTAAAATATTCCAACCATAAATTAAGCACAATTTAAACAATCTGTTATTCCCATGTGCTTACAGTTAAACAAACAATAATGTAAAAGAACACTCTTTGAAGACATATTATTGCATAGCAATGGGCAACTTATGTACTGCGTCAAACAATAGGCCTGATATTGGTCAATAGATTCAACTTGTAAATAAAGATATGCATGGTGAAATGATAAAAACTACACATTAAGAATGCGTTTGCGAAAGAATCATGCAGAGACCGGCACATGGTGGGTGACCGATTTTCACCATTTTTTTTTTATGTATGATGAGTAGCCTAACCCCTTCAAACCCAATCTGATTAAAACCCAGATCCAATTTCGTTTCGTTTAAATAGTTCAAAATTTCGATTTTACTTGTCTTTACTACACTTGGATCTGGAAGCATTGTTATTTAACTCGTGTTCTGCTTGAAATGAGGGGTCAGTCAATCAAATGGTCTGTCGAATCGAGCGTTTGACCTTTTTTGCGCGGAACTGTGGGTAGACATTAGCGGCAATAGAAATCAAAACAAAGCAAAAGTAGATAAAAAATACATGACGGTCGCTAATTGGTTAATCGAATGACTGACGTAATCGGGTCAAATGTCGCTTGCTTGGTACCTGACGTCATAGAACGTAAACTCCCACTATATAACTTGTTAGATCTACATGTAGTGTAGGCCATCGAAAGTATAAAAAACGAAACAAAATATAGATCTATATTTTAATTAGATTGCACCAAACCCCACTGCCAAAATTTAAGATCAATCGACCCATTTTTAGAGTGTAGAAATTTTTTTTGTAATTTTAAGACCGAAAAAAGACAAAAAATCGTCATTTTCAGGCCATTTTTTCAATTATGGGGTACAACTAAACTACAGTGAGTAGATTAATTAAACTTTATAGGGTAGCAGATATGGTTAGTGAGTATATATACATTCTGAAAGTTTGATAGTTTCATCGAGAGCTTTTTGGAATAGGGACTTAGTGCTGCAAGGTACCAGAATAGCTCAATTTATAGGTATGTCATTTTATTCTATCTATCTATATCTCACCCACTGCGGGTATAAGAATTTTTTTGGAATGCTGACTGAAAAGGCAATGATCCATAGTATTAAGATCAAGAAAAAAATTGGGTGGCACTCGATCTGTTAAGTAGTAAATAATTTCCATTTTTGTCCAAAAATTGTCGGGCAGTTTTGGTCCGATTATCATGACATTCGAAATGAACCAACAATACGGTGTAACGGTATCATATTCGAACGTTTTTTTAAATTAGATAATAATTGTGACCTCTTGAGGGACTAAAAGCTAAAAATGCAATTTTTCGTACAATCGGGGGCCGTAATTCAGGAAGTTACGATCCGATATGCGCAAATATCGAAAGGAACCAAGATATTTGGGTTATAAACATGCATTTCAAGTTTCATCAAATTTATCGGGTGAAAATTGTGACCTCTAGAGAGTCCACAACCTTGATTTACCATATTTTTACACTATTAGTGTACGAGGGGCAGTTTTGGTTCGATTTTCACGAAATTCAAACTCAACCATCATTAGGGTATAACAGAGATATATTTAAACGTTTTTTTAAATTGGATAAAAATTGTTAACTCTAGAGGGACCACAATCTTAAAATACGATTCAGGAAGTTACGACCTGATATGCGCAAATATCGAAAAGAACCAAGATCTTTGGGTTATAAACTTACATTTCAAATTTCAACAAAATCAGATAAAGATAGGTTGCCAGGCAACAAAACATACGCCCACAGCAGCTAAATCGTCCGGGCAGTCAACAAGTGTTGTCGCATATTTTTTACTTTTTTTGGTAATGAAACATTTATAATACACTAAAATCTGATTAAGAGTAACAACTCATGAAGTAACTATCAATCTGAAGTCAATTGGATGATAACTTTAGCCTCTAGAGCGTCACAAGATTTTTCAGAGTGATCAAGGGCCATAACTTTGGCAGTAATTATCGGAAATCGTTGAAAATCAATAGGATTCTTTGTCAATCGGATATTAACTTTAGCCTCTAGAGCATCCACAAGATTTTTTGAAGTGATCGAGTGCAGTAATTATCAGAAATTGCTGAAAATCAATAGGCGTCTTTGTCTTATGACCTTAAACACTGTGTAAAAATTTAAAGTCAATCGGATATGGTGATCAAGGACCATAACTCTGGAAGTAATTATCGAAAATCGCTGAAAATGAATAGACTTCTTCGTCTCATGACCTTAAACACTGTGTATAAATTTAAAGTCAATCGGATATTAACTTTAGCCTACAAAATTTTTCAAAGTGATCAAGGGCCATAACTCTGGCAGTAATTATCGGAAATCGCTGAAAATCAATAGGCTTTTTCGTCTCATGACCTTACACACTGTGTATAAATTTAAAGTCAATCGGATATTAACTCTTAAATGACCAGAGGTTTGACGTCATAACGTCATAAAAACCCACGTCATAATCGTCAATAGTGTTAAAATATACATATAGAGCATACATTTTAAAGTCATAATATTATTAAAAAACAACTGTAGATAGACCCTACATGTAAATGGATGAAATAATCTAAATTTAATGTTATTTTCATAAATATAAATTTTATACCAAAAATTGAGACATTTCATGCAAAATTTATGTATATAATAGTTAGTTCTATTTTTTTTTGTTTTTTTTGTTCGGCTGTTGTAAACTAAAAATCATTCATCATAAATCTCTTTTAATGTAAGCTTATTTAAATAGTTCGTTGATTAAGCCTACTTGCTTCTATCATTTAGGCCTATCAGTAAGCCTACTAGCCTATCACGTTCTAACGCAAAACTATAAAATTCTACACCACCGATAAAATCTGAATCACTGTCATTCAAAATGGATGCTAATCTGACAATTCATAAAAAGAATTGACTGCCACTAGATAACAGAAAACGAAAGAAAAACAGAAAAAGTATGTGCATTACCATGTTTTAATAAGGTATAGAATGAATATAAACAAGGGAATGTACGGACTATTTCTATTTTTCTCGTGTTCTCTTATCTAACAAAATTCAATTACTTTATTGAATTGTCAGGTATCCTCTTACAGTCCCATATAACAACTTTTGGTCTTGGAAGGAATTATTAGTGAGCAGAAATTCGGCCGTGTATCTGTTATCACTCGTCACATCAGTCAGTTATAATAGAGGTATGACTCGTGTTTTCCTTTGGCGTTCGTCACTTCCGATTCAGGAAACCTGTATTACTCAGCTATCGTAGCAATGATCTCTGTGTTAAAATTATATTTGGAATGTGTTTAACCAGCTCTATCACATATGTGATAATGACTGGCACCAATATTGTCCTTTAATGATCTCTGTAAGATTGTTCCACAGTTTAGGCACATTCACTGAGAACGATCTGTATCCAGATGATTTTAATTTCCACCTTGAGCAACACAACTGATTAAGGTGTGTTCAGCCGGAGGTTACGCGAGGGAACTTGTATTTGCAAAAGGTTAGATAGGTATATTTGATTCTTTCATTTATTGGCAGCCAATAGAGTGATTTCAGAATAGGAATAATATGAAAGTATTTTGATGATCTGGTAACAATTCGAGCTGCGGTATTTTGTACAAGTTGATTTTTTTTAATATTGGCACTAGATGTTTCTACTAACAAGCTGTTACAGTAGTCAATCCTTGAGAATACCAAAGAACATACAAGTGTAGTAGCTAATTTGTGGCTAATCAAGTGTCTTATATGACTGATAACATTTTCGACAAATTTCACTAATGTGACTGTCCATGCTTAAATTGGACCCCAAGAGGACACCCAAGTTCTTCACAGTGTCTTATGGTACAAGTATTGCATCTCGTACAACCACATCATTTGAACTTGTATTTTTCAGATGTGTATTTGGACCAAATAAAATACATTCTGATTTACTTAATTCAATTACATTTAATTTCAACATAGTTATTGTCATCCTATCTTTAATGTCATGTGTACACAATAATTAGGGGATGGAACAGTTTTGGAAACAGAGTAATTTGCAATCAGCTGTGTATCATCTGCATAAGAATGCCGTCCTAGAAACCATGATTATCGATTAATTGTCCTAAATTCTTAGTATACATTACAGAAAGGACAGGTCCAAGGACTGATCCTTGTGGAATTCCTGAATCATCTGTACCGGCCTGACATGGGGTTGCTGGAAGGCGGTTGTATGGGTCATTATCAGGCCTAATAATCCAGGCATCGAATGATTTTATTGGAAAAATGATGTTAAAAATGAAGTCATTTTCTTCAAGTTTGACCATCAAATTTAATATTAGAATTGTTCTCAGCCCCGCAATGGGTGAGATATAGCATCATGGAATTTATATGTTTTAGCATATAGCAAAAACTAGGTCTCAAAATAAATTCCTCATAGCCTCAAATGGTTTCGGAAAAATTCAATAGTCATATATATTAAAAAAAATAAAAAATCAATAGGCAATTTATGGGAAATATTTAAATTTAGATAGTTTTTTTTTCAAAAAAATGTCGTCTGTTTTATTCTAAAATGGCCATAGCTGGTTCTCTGTAACTACAAGGTTGGTGAGTCTCATATTTCATGTGGGGTATACGGGGTACCCAATGACCCAATCTGCAAAGTTTGGTCAAAATCGCTAGACACCTCTTGTGCCCTTTTTATTAAATTTTGCATGGTTCTCTCGCGAACTCATTCTTAAATAGACAGGGGTTACCCACTTCCTTTACTCAAGTTTATTGAATATTTAACTTTACAATGAAATAAGATCCACTTTTTGATATCCCTTAAGAACTGTCAAAGGTAATATTATGTTGTAGTACTTGCCTATCATGAAATAGTCTATGAATATTAGTCTGGATGTGTTGTCAACATTTGAGAATAACATTGGCTAGATTATCCGGTCTTTTACATTATCATAAATGTCTACTAAGGGAGGTAAATTTTCTCTCTTCATGGGCCATATCTATGCTTTTTAAATTAATCCTAATTTGTCATCACGATTCATATTTGTTTATATTAATGCAAGAATTATGGGAAGGGGCACAACTCTTACTTGACTTGGCCAAAGATACTGGATAATCAACCACATTAAAACCAAACTCCCGGTTACGCATGGGCAATGGACTTTACGTCAAATATTGACAACGGTCCCAGACCCTCCGAATGTTGAAGACTAGGAGGTTCTGGGTGACCGAGACTAATCATGAAATAGGATCTGTGCATTTTAAAGCATAAAGATTGGTTGCCAGGCAACGAAACATACACCCACAGCAGCTAAATCAACCGAGTGGTGGACAAGGGTTGTTGTATATTTATTCTTTTGTAAGTAATTGGGGGCATTTACAATACAATTTCATATAGATCAGATTATAATTTTTGTCGTTTGTGGGTTCACAAGGTTCTACAAACTGAAACAAGGGCCTTAACTCTGGAAGTAATTTACAGAAAATTTTCAAATTTGATATAAATTTCATACAGATTGGATGATAACGTTTGTCATTTGAACGTTTACAAAGTAAAACAAGGGCCATAACTCTAGAAATAACTGACGGAAATTGCTGAAATTCAATAGACCACCGTTTCACAAATTTAATTGATGAATATAAATTTCATACATTTCTGATGATAACTTTCATCCATCGAGCATTAACAAGGTTAAACAAAGTGGAACAAGAGCCATAACTCGAGAAGTAATTATTTTAAATTGCTGAAATTCAATGGGCTTCGTGGTTTCACTAATCTAAATGATGCATATAAATTTCATACAGATCAGCTAATAACTTTTTGCCTTAGAGTGTTCAAAAGGTTCAACAAAGTGAAACAAGGGCCATAACTCTAGAGGTAATTAATGGAAATTGCCGAGATTCGATAGGCTTCTTTGTTTTACTAATTCAAGTAATGCATATAAATTTCACAAAGATCGGGTGATAACTTTTGGTGTTAGAGCGTTCACAAGGTTCAATAAAGTGAAACAAGGGCAATAACTCTAGACGTAATAAACGGAAATTGCTGAAATTCAATAGGTTTCTTTGTTTCATTAATTTAATTAATGCATATAAATTTAACAAAGATCGAATTAAAACAAATTGAAATAAGGGCCATAACTCTAGAAGTAATAAACAGAATTTTCTAAAATTCAATAGTCTTCTTCATTTCCCTAATTTAAATATTGCATATAAATTTCACAAAGATCGGATGTTAACTTTTGGCATTAGAGCATTCACAAGGTTCAACAAAGTGAAACAAGAGCCATAACTCTAGAAATTATTAAAATTAAATAGGTTTCTTCATCTCACTAATGTAAACAACATATATCAATTCTAAAACAATTGGATGACAACGGCAATGGGGGAAACGGCAATATACGTTCACACTTCCATGTGGGCGCATAAAAATGCACAGTTCCTAGTTAATCATAGGCAAGTGTAGAAAGCATGGGTTCCATGTCGGCGTATATGCTGGTCGGGACCGAGGTCTCTGGAAAATGGCCAAAACCGGATGAGACTCTAGTTCATTTTGCACGCCGGAAAAATAGCATATTTTGTGCTGAATCATAAAATCCCGGGATACGAAGAAACTCTGTTGTGCGTGTCGTGATGTAATAAAATTAACAGTGTTCAGTAGTCCACAAATGGAAACCACTGCCAGTTAATTAAATTATCTTTGTGTATATTGCTCTAATCACAATCTAATTTAATTAGTACTGTATGATCATTCTTAAAACCGAGTTGTTGTTACAACATATTTGTCGACTTTCATTGCTCGTGCAGCCATATTTACTATATCAACATCAAACAAATTAAAAACTTTAATTTGATATCTTCACTTGATAACTAGAGTTAATCATGCGAATGATATATTTCAGAAATGTTAGCATGTTTACCATCATTTCAAAATGTTGAAATTCCAAACCTCTCAGAATAACAAAGTCTATCTTAAAATCTTGTCACAAACATTCCCATGGTTATAATATGGTATTCCTACACAAAGATGTATTGTCGGGTGTGTTTTTAATCCTTCTGTTTTCTTTTATGTAACAACTGTTTGACGTTACTTTACTTGACACAATGAACTTTTACGCTCGCCACCATTTTGATACATGTGCAATTATCTTTACATGTTATCGAGTGAAAATACTAGAACGATATTGTTTGAGCTCCCCAAATATGAATACGAGTTAATATATTGATAAGTTTAAAAAGTATGTTAATTGTTGTACATTTTTATTATAACTTTGAATTATTTAAATGCATTAATCATTCTGAACTACTTTTCGCCGTGTATAGAGAAATAGTCAACAGTCTAACTTGTCACGTACGCAGTATGCACAGGTTAATTAAAAGATCGTTTTCAGAAACGCCAAGAATATTTTTGTGACTTCGGCTTCCCAGAATTTTACAAAGTCGGCTCTGGTATAGCACACTGACTCCAGTGTTATACCACAAGAGTTCCATTAGAGATACGATGAGTATATACGGTTGATGTTGTAAATAAAGTAAGAAAATACTGTACTTGCGGTGAATGAATGTTTCTTGTTGTTATATTTTATTTATGTATAAATAAATAAATGATAATTGATTACATGTGTTCCTTTATTGCGGGGGTGGGTGGGTATAAATGCTGACGTGAGATTAAATTTCTGTGTGACTGTCCTTGACCCAATTAAACCCGATCGGCATTTCCATATCATGTTGTTTTATGGCTTCTTATCATGTGCTAAAAATATCACCACTTTCTCCACGTAAAAATTGACCGGCTGGGAAAATTTTGAAGTGGAAGCCCTGGTAGAAAGTACTACAACATATATTACATGACTACTATGGACCTAGTTGTCTCAAAGCTAATAATCCCCTGCTTTATTTGAAAGGAGATGTACAATAACCACAAACAACCATCAATTATTGTTAGTAATATAGGCCCTTTCACTTAAAAAATTGACTGACCTGTAAAATTTTAATGTTTTAGTTTGATTGTCAAGACATATATTTCAAAGACTGACTATTTTCACATTATCTTAACTAATGATTCATTCTATATTATAAGTGATTTTACACTATAAAATTTAACTGGCTTTTTGTTCTGGTTTAAGATTAAATTTTACTTCTATGGCATGCAAATTGACCAACAGGTTGTAAAATATCTAATCTAGTCAGTCATGAAATGAAATGAGGTTTAACGACCTACTGTTATGCTCCGAATGGGCTAATCTAGCCAGTCAATATGACTGAAATGACAGTCCTTATGACTGGCTTCAGATTGTTTTAAGACAATCCTATCTATTGCAATCCAGAATTAAATTTATAAGGATTCCACCTTTTTCCTTTGGTTGTTTGAGGTGTCTGTGTATATTGTGTCCTGTCTTGTGTAATTGCTTATGTTTGGTGTGGTCCCCTACACTTTACTATTAATTAAGGTCAACCGAAGAACACAAACTGGGTTATATCTGAACTGGTCTTAACCATGGATGTTAAGTTTTTAATAAGGAAAACATACATTTGAGCCAAATTAAGGGAGGTTCAATTCACCTAATGTATACTGTCATTGTAGATGACTTTCACAGATTTCTGAGGATGATCAAGGTCATGTTCATTAATAGAACATTTACTTCTGCCTCTTATATATTTTATCCGCAAACGCCACAAAGATTTCCTTAGGTAAATTACCACTACATTTTTCTATGAGTGTTTTAAGTTCCTTATAACTACTTTCTTCATATTCTGTATAAACACATTTTAAATTTAAATCACGATACAATTCTTTTACTCTTTCTATCTTGGATTCATCATCTTGTCCATAATTATTCTGAAAAATATTAAAATAATTTTTTTAATTTCTGTGAAAGGTTTTATTTAACCAACTGTTAACCTCAAAGTTTCATTGATTTTAAGTCAATACAGGGCCATAACTCACTAAAATATAAATAAAATTTCATGAAACACAAATAACCTCAATGGCAGTTTCCATTAATGTCTAATATACATGTATACATCGGAATATGCATTGTCATACAAATAAATTGCCCAAAACTCAATTTAAAATTGGGGGTTTCTAATCTCTACCCATAGTTGAAATATGTCTTCAAGTACATGGAATAGAACTAACTTTTGCCTGGTTTAAACTCTTAATATTTACTTTAAAAACTGATCACTGGTACCTCTAATATTTGTCTTTGTTCCGGGGTAACTCGATTTAAAGCTTGTACAACCAGCCAGCCGCATTTGTTATCTTGTATATCTGTACCTATTTTACCAATAACTTCTGGTGATCCATAACAATCTAAATAATCATCCTAAACAAACATCAAGAATTTAATTAAAAGGAGTGCACTGTAGACTACATTGTTTATCATCTATGCAAAGTCTTGATTTGAATACAACATTTGCATGTGACACAAGGAGCCACAGGGGCAAAGTGAGTAAGATGTTGGAGGTCCCATGTTCGGACCCTGCATTGGCCGAGAAAGTTTGTTGGGACTTTCCGGCGTAGTTCCCCCTTGTCAGTGGTGCATGACAATGGGCCTGGCAAGGGAAAAATGGATAGTTGTTTGGATGGTACAAGAAAACTGAGGTCCCGTGTACACATAAAAGATCCCTTGGCAGTTGGAATTCGATATAAGAGTAGGCCGCAGCGCCACTGTCCGAGCAAAATTTCCCTCATGGCACACTGTATGGCATATGCCCGTCTTAAAAAGCCCAATCGGAGCACAACAGTAGGACATTAAACCCCATTTCATTTCTGGCATGTGACAAGGGGTAGGATAGTGATATGTATAGACAATAAGACATCTTGCAGCAATCTAACTGACTAAGATTTATAATATGTACAATGCAGTAAGGTACTGTGATTTAAAAGAATAAGGTACAATGTACACACCAAATTTAGGTTGAATATGCTGACACCTAACAGAAAATATGTCAGGAAAACACTTTTAAATTTCAATGACACTATTTCCTCTAAAAGTAGGTCAACTGTGATGAAAATTATTGTTTTGGCTCAATATCTTGTAGATTTACAGCAAAAAGCCAATAAAACTGCTTTAAGACAGATGATTGACAGGCTGATGGCATGGCAGCCTCTATGTCTCCTGTTTTATTGTTAAGGACTAAGTAAACAAGAAATAATATACCTGTACTTGGAAGAAATGGCCCATCTGTAGTAATATAGTTTTAGCATTGGCATGAGCTTCTGTATCTGATATACCTGCCTAGAAAAAAAACCAAACCCACTAACCTTCAAATTCATGCAGCACAAAGAATAATATGATCCTAGAGCTAATAAAATGTCAACCAGCGGCTGCCAGGCAGGATACACCCACATTTTGAAAGAGATGGATAGAGTACAAGCAAAACAAAGACAGGTTGCCAGGCAACAAAACCAGCAGCTAAACCATCAGAGCGGTCGACAAGGGTTGTCACATAATTATTCTTTTGTAGGTAATTAGGGGCATTTAATAGACAATTTCATACAGATGACATTATAACTTTCGTCGTTCGAGGGTTCACAAAGTTCTAAAAACCAAAATAAGGGTCATAACACTGGAAGTTATCTACAGAAATTGTTGAAATTCGACAGGCTTTTTTGTTTCACTAATTCAAATAATGCATATGAATTTCATACAGATTGGGTGATAACTTTTGTCGTTTGAACGTTCACAAGATTCAACAAAGTAAAACAAGGGCCATAACTCTAGAAGTAATTGACAGAAATTGCTTACATTCAATAGGCTTCTTCAATTCACTAATTTAAATGATGCATATGAATTTCATACAGACTGGGTGATAACTTTTGTCGTTCGAGCATTCACAAGGTGCAACAAAGTAAAACCAGGGCCATAACTCACGGTGTAATTAACGGAAATTTGCTGAAACTCAATAGGCTTGTTCGTTTTACTAATTTAAACCATACATATAAATTTTAAACAGATCGGATGATAACTGTAGAGCATTCACAAGGTACAACAAAGTGAAACAAGGGCCATAACTCACGGCATAATTATCGGAAATTGCTGAAATTCAATAGGATTCTTTGTTTTACTAATTTAAATGACGCATATAAATTTCATACAGATCGGTTGATAACTTTTGTTGTTATAGCGTTAATAAGGTGCAACAAAGTGAAACAAGGGCCATAACTCTAGATGTAATTAACGAAAATTGCTGAAATTCAATAGGATTCTTTGTTTTACTAATTTAAATGGTGCATATAAATTTCATACAGATCGGTTGATAACTTTTGTCGTTAGAGCGTTCACAAGGTGCAACAAAGTGACCAAGGGCCATAACTCCAGAAAAATGAACGGAAGTTATTGAAATTAAATAGGCTTCTTCATATCACTAATGCAAACAACATGTCAATTTCAAAACAACCAGATCATAAATGTAGTCTGTAGAGTTTTCACAAGAAATTGTGGACGATGGACGGACGGACCAACGGATGGACCGACAGAAGGACGGACGAACAGGGTGACGGCAATATGCGACCACATTTTCATGTGGGAGTATAAAAAGCGATTTTTTGTACAATCAAGGGCCATAATTCAGGAATCGACAGGAACCAAGATCTTTGGGTTATAAAGATATATTTCAAGTTTCATCAAAATTGGATCAAAATTGTCACTTCTAGAGGGTCCACAACCGTGATATACCATATATTTACACTATTCACGAAATTCAAACTCAGCCGTCATTAGTGTGTAATGGTGAAATAGTCAAATGTTTTTTTCAATCGAATAAAAATTGTGACCTCTAGGAGGGCGGCCTTTTTGTCCAGCAGTTTTGATCCGATTTTCACGAAACTCAAGCATCATTACAGTGTAACAGTGATTAGACCGGGAGTCCAGGGGGTCAACCTAGCTGAAAAGTGTACCAATTTTCTCCTATATGGTATCAATGTATGTATATCTGGTATCATCAGAATGCCGGGTTTCTGGTGGTGGGTGGGGTATTCCACGCCCTAAATGCCATGATCCCCAACTAGGCTAGATTAGCTCAAAAGTGTACCACACGAAAATCTTACTGCAGTGTACCGTACATCTTCAGGTATTACAAAAACACTCTGACAGACATTTCTAGTGGTGGGGTACCCCTGACAGAGCTATTTAATTGTCAGACATTTGTAGTGGTGGAGTATCCATGACAAGAGTTATCTAATATTTAGACCAAAGCTAGGCTAGATTAGCTGAAATCTGTACCACCTAAAACAGCTTTGGAGTTGTTCAGTACCACCACAGGAGTCATGAATGACTTACCCCTAACAGACACGCCCCAAAATGCCACGCCCCCAACTAGGCTAGCTTCGCAAGCACTGTTCCCGTGTTCTAAAAAATTAGATTTTTAGCCAGGATGCTTAGGATACTAATACCTAGCACGTATGGAAGAGGCGATAAACTGCGATTGCAAGAAATTGATTTTTGGGCAAAAAACATTTTATGGGGCTAAAAATGCGTTTTTCAAAAATAAAATTGTTCCTACAACCGCAGATTATCTCCTCTTCCATATGTGTTAGGTATTAGTATTCTACGCATCCTGGCACAATTTTTAATTTTTTGGACCACAGGAACAATACCGACTAATCTATCCTAGTTGGGGGTCGTGTTATTTTGGGCGTGTCTGTTAGGTGCAACCCACTGCACAAACTGTCTGGCAGTGGTCATTCAGGATTTCTGTGGTGGTACTGAACAACTCCAAAGCTGTTTTAGGTGGTACAGATTTGAGCTAATCTAGCCTAGCTTTGGTCTGGAAATTAGATAACTCTTGTCAGGGATACTCCATCACTACAAATGTCTGGCAATTACATAACTCTGTCAGGGATACCCCACCACTAGAAATGTCTGTCAGAGTGTTTTTGTAATACCTGAAGATGTACGGTACATTGCTGTGCGATTTTCATGTGGTACACTTTTGAGCTAATCTGGACTAGTTGGGGGGGCATGGCATTTTGGGCGTGGAATACCCCACCCACCACCAGAAACCCGGCAGACTTACATTCTGATGATACCAGATATACATACATTGATACCATATAGGAGAAAATTGGTACACTTTTCAGCTAGGTTAACCCCCTGGGCTCCTGCTCTAGATATATTCAAACAGTTTTTTAAATCGGATAATAATTGTGACCTCTAGAGGGACCACAAGCTAATGTCATATACTCCTTCACTAAACTAACTTATTCATATTATTAAGGAATAGTGGTCTGAAGCCTTCTTCAGTTTTTTGTGTTGAGTTACTTTCCTTGATTAATAAAAGGCTTTGATCCTAGATGGAATTCTGGGATAGAGTGAAATGTAAGATGGCAGTTTTTAATTAGCCCTTCTGATTGACAAAAACAATCTTGGCCATCTTGTGGCCTATATACCCCAATACCACACGATTTTTTGTACAATCAGGGGCCATAATTCAGGAAGTTACAATCCGATATGCACAAATATCGAAAGGAACCAAGACCCTTGGGTTATAAACATGCATTTCAAGTTTCATCAAAATCAGATGAAAATTGTGACCTCTAGAGTGTCCACAAGCTACAAACGTGATTTTTCGTACAATCAGGGGCCATAATCTAAGAAGTTATGGTCAGATATATGCCAATATCGAAAGGAACCGAGATCTTTGGGAAAGAGAACTATGTTTTAAGACCGATATTTTAAGTTTCATCAAAACTGAATAAAAATTATGACCTGTAGAGTGTCCACAAACAAATTGTGGACGGACGGACGGACGGACAGGGGTGACGACAATATATGGGTACGTCCACATGAAAATGTGGGCATATACACATGAAAACTTAAGAATGTTTTGATGTAGAACATCAGAATATAGATAAATGGTATGCTTTATTCCTTTGTGATAACAAGCAAAGGGTCAATTGGTGAAACTTACCATATACATTGCTATAGCAACAGGCAAATAAAATGAGTAAAAGGCTGTTTTCCACTTGACTATGGCACTATATCTATCTAAAGTAAAACTTGTGAAATCCACATTGCCTTGTGGTGGAGCCGTCGTTAAATCTAAACATTGACCTATCACAGTCTGCAATGTTGTCTAAAAAAACCAAAAAAAAACATATTCCTATATTTAAAGATAAGTTGCCAAACATAACACCCACATTAGCTAAGATGTCCAAGCAGTCCATAATGGTTGATGCATTGTGAATCTAAGTAAAAGCAAAATATTTATAATGTACACTATCAGTGTTGTGTTGATATGATATTATTGACGGAATGTAAGGTAGCATCCTTGGTATCCCCAGTGGTCTCATTCTGTTCTACTCCACTAACCCCAAAACGCAAAGGCTCACCTTCAAGAGACAAAGTTAGGAATTAGCCAGAAGGTAGCCTAAATGAGAGAAGTCCAAATTATCCTAAATGCCTATTTATTAACAACAAATTACAATTATTATATAATATATCAATTCAGACAAGACATATATATATATTTATCACCCCATAATACATTCTACAGTAGATATCGCCTATGTGATATATTTCAAAATCTACTGCGATTTCTCCTTTACATGAATTTGATTGGTCGGTTGAAAAGGAACTACTTTTTATTTTCAAATAATAGTTCATTTCTTATAAAAAGTAACTTTTTTTTTTAAAAAATGAACTATTGTTTGATTTATTACCGTAAAGAAGAAGAGGGTACCTCTTCGAAACGTTGGTCTAATTATATCTGACTATGAACTAACAGTGTTAGTGTCTCTTTTGTTTATCTACTTTAATATTTATCTAGTGAAGAACACTTCCGTATCGGATTCCTCAATCCATTGTTTTCATATTCCTGTTTGACGCAGATTCTACACAAGTTATGTAGAAGTAGTTAGAGGATTCCATTAGAAGTAGATAATATACGTAAAATAAAGTAAGTGCGTCCATTCTAGATGATTATTTTATTACTGACATACATATATTGGCAAAATGTTACTACATTATTTCAATATTTGTGCTAACGTTTTCACATTAATTATAAACACAACTATTATGACGTCATAACGTCATGGTTACATTAAGAATATTATTTAGTAGCTCATTGACTACAAACATTTAATACAACCATTTTATTTACATTAATTATTCCTTATGGGAATTAAGTTTTGGGTGGTATTTTTCAATAAAATAGCTTTCTTTGACCTCTACAAGGTCCTTTTTATTGTTATTAACTCTATACATAGGGAATACCCTAAATTACTTCCACCACATACTTCAAGATGCTCACTGAGTGGAATCATCCTGTATTTGGGTTGAAGTAAGTTTTGTCTGTGGAGATTATTCTTAACCTTAGCACCATTTGGGTTTTCCCTATATAAGTTCCCTCGCAGTCCGGACATATTATGAGATAGATCACGTAGTCTGAATGACAATTCATAGGTTGTTTAACATAAAATGTACAATTTGCATTTATCTTATTAATGGAAGATCCTTCAATGATGATTTCATATGTTTTGCATCTAGGGTCATTGCATTTCGTTACAGCTGGTACTGACTGACTAAATTATATTTCGAAGATGTTATTAACCTAGCTAAGTTGGAAGGTTGCTTTAGGCTATTGATGACATTTGTCTTTCTCAATATTTTTTCCATCTCAGGGCTATTTTTAAGGATATGGGTGTAATTGTCAATAATGGATTTCCCATTTTCCTGAGATGGATTAAAAGTAGTAACTATACTAAAGCAACATTCCTTTTATTTGAGATCATATGAACTTTAGGCTGTCTTAATACACTTTGATCCAGTGTTAATGCTACTTGGTTTACATTATCTATTAATTTATCTGGATATTTTTGTTTTAAGAGGAAACCTTTAAGTTCTTCAAGTCTCTGAATTTTGGTATCTTGATACAATTGTACAGATTCTTCTAGCTAAGTTATATGGAATATTACGTTTCGTATGAGATGGGTGACAAGAATTGAAATTTAGATATTGGTGTGTATCTGTTGGTTTTGTAATACAGATCAGTTTCAATAGTGCCATTCTGGTGGAGCTTTACAGTCACATCCAGAAAGTTTAATGTGGTTTGACTTTGCTCTATTGTAAACTGAATGTCTGCACGATCATCCAGCCAATATTCAACAGCCTTTAGTCCCAGATCTTTGCTTATATTATTGTATAAATTAACTACATCAAAACTAATAAGTGAACTACCAGCAGGTTCTACCAGTTTTGGTAGTTGATGTAGATAATCTACATGTATATATATACTCAAAGCCATTAACCAGCGGCTGCCAGGCAGTATACGCTCACATTTTAGAAGAGATGGATAGAGAACAAGCTACAAACAAAAACGATTTTTTGAACAATCAGGGACCATAATTCAAAAAGTTATGGTCTGAAATGCGCAAATAGCAAAAGGGACTCAGATTTTTGGAATATAAAGATATGTTTTAAGTTTTATCAAAATCGGATAAAAAATTTGTCGGTCAGTTGCATTTCGATTTTCCCTAAATTCCAATTCAACCTTCTTTATGGTGGAATGGTGATATATCTCAACGGTTTTTAAAATTGGGAAAAAAATTGTAACCTCTAGGGAATCCACAAGCTAAAAATGCGATTTTTCAACCAATCAGGGACCATAATCCAGGAAGTTACGCTCGGATATGTGTGATTATCAAAAGGAACCAAGATCTTTTTGATAAAACCATATATTTAAAGTTTCATCCAAATCAGATAAAAACTGTGGCCTCTAGAGGGCCCATAACCTTGACATACCATATTTTTTACACTATTTGCGTACAAAAGTCGGCCATTACGTCCATCAGTTTTTTTCTGATTTTCAAGAAATTCAAACTCGACCATCATTAGTGTATTCACACTTTTTTTTTTTTAAATCAGATAAAAATTGTGAACTCTATAGGGACCACAAGCTCAAAACGCGATTTTTCGTACAGTCAAGGGCCATAATTCAGGAAGTTACGATCTGATATGCGTTATATACATGCATTTCAAGTTTCATCAAAATCCGATCAAAATGGTGACCTCTAGAGTGTCCACAAACTAAAAATGTGATTTTTCGTACAATCAGGGGCCATAATCCATGAAGTTATGGTCCGATACCTGCCAATATCAAAAGGAACCAAGATCTTTGGGAGATAGACCTATATTTCAAGTTTAGTCAAAATCAGATAAATATTGTGGCCTGTAGACTGTCCACAAACAAATTGTGGACGGACGTACATGGGCGACAACAATATACGTCCACATGAAAATGTGGGCCTATAAAAACGCAATGCCTAATTTGTGGAATATTTCTGGTAAACGTTTTCTTGGGCTTTCCTATAGGTGAAACTTGTGATGGGTCTCTTTTTGTGGAGTTCTGTGTTTGAACCCAATATCACTTGTCTTTTTTCACGATTTTAAGCATTCCCTGCACTCTGGCTCTTTAAATACAGATCAAAATTTCAACATTCATCACTTCGGAAAAATACCACGCCTTACACAAGAAAACAGGAACAGAGCTATTGGCATGCTGGATCAGGGGGCTTCACAGGTAGCCGTCGCCAGACACTTTAATGTCCACCCATAGACCATTGCTCGCCTCAGACAACGCTTCCACGTCAATGGAAGAGTTGCCGATCGACCCCGACCTGGAGCGCCACCTGTAACAACCGCTGCTCAAGATCGCCAAATCTGACTACAGCATCTGCGCAACAGGTTCTAGTCAGCTACTGCTACTGCCAGGGGAACTGTTGGAACACGGCAACGTCAGATCAGCCCTCAAACAGTCCGAAGGCGTCTGGCTGCTATTGGGTTACGCTGCCGTCGACCTTACCACGGTCAAATCCTTTTGCATCGTCATAGAATTGCCAGACAGCAATGGGCCGCAAATCAGGGGTATCTGCACAACACACCATGGCGAAATGTTACCTTCTCGGATGAATCCCGATTCAACCTCAGTTTTCCTGATGGATGTCACCGTATCTACTGACGTCGACATATATTACCATATGATTCAAGTATAAATTATACTATTTTCATATAATTAATGAACTCACTTCATATCTAATGTCATGGAAAGAAGAGCACTCTTATCTATAAAAAAATATCTTCGTGCAGGCCTACACAATGGTTTAAAATTGCCAATTTCTTGGTATTAGAAGGCCCACAGGTCTATACTACTAGACATGCCACATGCAAAGTATTTACTCATATGGTTTTGGGGTTATGATGATTTGTAAAAAGATAAATCAATAATATGTGCAAGTCTGGAAATAAGGCAGCTGTCACAGACATTGTCAGGCACAGATTAAGGCTTTGACTGGCACAATCCCTTTGGTGCCTGTCATTTTGTCAAGCACAGACTGTCCAGAGATTTGTATTTTATTGTTGCTTTTAATGATATTTATAATACATGTCCGACTGTCAAGTTTAAAATGTCAGATAAATTAAAATTTATTTCCAGGCCTGTAAATGTGTTTATTGAAAAATGTTATAGGTCTATTTGAAATTAAAATTTTAATATCATGAATTTATTATTTTTTCTTAATGAAGGCTTTTGTTAATAACACAGCATAAATAGAGAAGTTTTGGGAGCCAAAGATATTTTATTTTGGGAAAAAATCATTTTACTTGAGTAAGATAGGTAAGCATTATCCAATAAGGAGTGTGGCACTTTGGTAATTTCAAAGTATTTTTAAAACAGTATAGGATGACATTTCAAATCTAGGCTATTTGGTGGATTAGTTTCAAAGATGTTAAATACTTTTAAAATTTGACAACAATTTACCGCTTAGATTAGTCGTTTGAGTCACAAATATCATATGTTTGTGACAATTCTCTATAGTTTCTGTTATCCAAAATATAGTTTATTGATACATATTATTTACAATTACAATGAAGCCTGCAAGTAAATCAAATGCCAAGGTCACAAATCAAATGCCAAGTTCAAGGCCAACCCACCGATACATTTCAAAACGAAAAATACGAAATAAACTCATTTATTTCATCTCTCTACGACTGTATGACCACGTGCAAACATTGCTACAACGTATGAAACCCTCCCTGTTGATATTGTACCCGTCAGTTCAACATGTCAACAGTTTTCAGTTTCGAAGCGTATTTGCTTACACCTTAAGTTCCTGCATCGGAAATGTGCACTGCGCGGACGCAAGCAATTTTAACTAAAATCTTTTAAAATTGCATTTTAAGTTACAATTTACAATCGATCTTCACGAAACGCACAAAATTTAAAATTTCATTTTGATTTTAGTTAAAATCTATTTTAATGATTTTACCTGTGAAACAGGGCCCTGGTTTGTAAACTGTTTCTTGATTGGTTCATAGATTTTAGCTACAATCAAGGCCAGGGCAGGTAATTTGTAATAGTGAAAACCCTATGGATTAACCCAGGGGTTAGTGGAGTAGAACGGAATGAGACCACTGGGGATACAGAGGCTGATAGGGTAGTGGCCTTCAATCAAGTAGACCACATATAAAAATAAAATTTATAATTGCTCAGCGATATATCGCGATACGTGATGCCAAAACAATATGATACGTATAGTACAGGTCAGTAACATTCATGGTATTGGCTATATAGTATATACCATAAGATTTGTTAAAAATTTACAGTTCTGACTTCCTGGCTATTAAAACATGTTACACTTAGCTTACCTCGTGAAACAATTCCATTAAATGAACATAATATGGTTGATCTCTACAATATTTCTTGATAAGAACAAAAATAGATGACTCTAAATAATAGGAGTCATTAATAGCTATGGTACCAACATTAGGCTGAAAAACAGAATTTAATAAATACAAATTACTAATTGTTGAAGGATTGGAGAAAGTAAACATGTTCCTGCACTTTCCATTCCCTTTTCCTTAAATTTGTTTCATATCTCATTTTTGACAACCATTATTTTCTAATGATTTGAAAGAACTTGGTTATTTACTTTCACAATTGTATGGTTTACAATTTTACAATTTTTGTTTTTATATAGGTAGTCTTCATAAGTCAACAAGCCTCTTTGGCACCATTCCAAATTTACTTATTACCCTCATCAGAGGATTGAATCTTACTTTCCAAGTAATGTAGGGTTTTACCCATCACTGGCCCACAATGTTTTGTTCCGATCTGGATCAATTGACCGAGCAATTATTGAAGGATATAAATTCCTGGTCATGAATTAAGATCAAGATAATCAAAAACATTCAAATTTTTAATCTGGAACCACATATAGCCTACTTCTTCTGTCTGTAAGATGGTAGTTATATTTTGTAAGTGAGTGTTAAGAAATTCTTAGCTGGTAAGGTTACTCAGCAAACAAAAATCAAACCCAGAGTCAAACTTTACCTACGGAGAAGTTGACCCCTTACAGAAACGACTCTGATCGATTTTACGCCCGGAACATTACCGGAGTATAATCTGCCAATCAGAAAGTGTTTGTTCTGCCATCAGCCATTACACCGGAGTACAAAATACTCCATAAATTGAACAACAAATTTATACCATTATCAGGAGTCAAAATTCTTCGGAATTTGAATAGCAAATTTAGACAATTTTGATTCAAAGTAGATCACTCTCATCGTTTAAGCCAAAAAACTATTCTGGTCCTTTTATACGCCTTATAAAAATATGTACGCTCAAATCCGAGTGAAAACTATTTTGAACTCACCAAAATGAAATTTGATTGTTTATATAACAGATTATGATCCCACTTGTTCAATTTAGCAAGCCCTCCCAAGGGAAATGGCATCTATTATCCTATTCGGAAATAGCCAATGCCGTACACTCTCCGAAAAAAAGCCAACCACATCATTTAAAAGGCTGATATGCGAGTAGAAATGTTACGATACAAACAATTGGGCCTTTCACGATTGATCCTGATTGAGACATAAATGATGTGTCACGTCGGATAATATTTGAACCATTTTAAATTGAAATGAATTCACACTTAGGAACTTTCGCAAAAAAATGGCCATACAGTTTCCAAAGGGTCCCCACATTCTGCATATTTATATATTTTGTAAGATCAAGTCATCATATACCATGTACGCCAGTTGCCTAGTTTGGAGGTATTTGAGACCTGCTCAGTAAAATTGTCATTGGAGTGGTTGTACACTAACACTGGACATTAATAACATTGTTATTATACCCACAGGTAAAATTGATAAAAATATAATAATAGACATTTACTTTTTTATACCAACATGGCTGCCCTCTTCTTGTTATGGAGGAATCCATTATGTCGTCTGCTATCAAGAAATATGCTTGTAACTGGAAATATATTGTTTATAATACTTTAAATCTTGGAAATATTGCAGTCACTAGAGATTAAACAAACCAACAGTGAGGCTGATGTCCCCAGCCAAAATCCCAAAATAAATAGATGACACATACTAATTAATCGCGCATTTTTTTTTTTTCAAAAGTATCGAGCAATCAAACTATACAATAAGTTTCATCACTCGCTATCAGATAGAATCTACATTATCTTGTCCCAAAGCATCGACTAATGAAACTGATTAGCTTCAGCTCAAAATGTTAATCATTGAACTCAGTCAAGAGATTCACTGAATCACCTAATGAACATCTACATCAATTTGAAAAATTCTGCCTCAATTAAAAGCAGAGGTGTTATGTTCCAAAGTCTTGACCAATCAAATTGCTTATCTCTCCTTAGCCTAAGCAGAAAATTCTCACCATTGAACTTAGTCAAGGTAATGATATAATGAATCTATATTCAGAGTTTCATCGCTCTCACTTCATTATAACCAAAGTTATCGTGCCCCAAGGCATCAACCAATCAAATTGCTTATCTCTGCTTACTCTAAGCAGAAAATTCTCATTTTCGACCTCCATCAAGGCATTCACCTAATAAACAACTACACCAAGTTTGAACATTCTAGCTAAATTAGAATGAAAGTTATCGTCTTAATGAATTAATGAGGTAAACAAATAATGCCAGAATAGATCCCAAGCAAAATCAGTGCAGTCGGTCGTATGATATGAGCAGTCGGTATCAAAATAAATGCTCACTGCACACGTCACTCTACTCACGCAAAACTTTAGTATAAAATAACCTTGTCGACTTATCATGTTTGAAAAAAATGTTTTTCACCAAATAGTCGGTTTCAAAAAAAAAGTGCTCACCGCAGTCGGTCTTAGACTAAATGAATTAATGGGATGTTTTCTGACCATCAGAATTCTGCAAATTCTCTCCCCAAAGTCTAGGGCATTTCAGAGACCAAGTAAGCGCCCCATTGAGGTAAAGTGCCCTCAGGCCCAGTCCTCAAAAATTAAAAGCTCAGTTACATGTTGGCGCTCAATTCCATTATGCCATCATTCTTCAACTCCTTCTCTGACTTTTATTATCTCATCACTATCATATTCACGGTTACAGTGAATCGCCCAGTTAGTAGTACCACTAGTGAGTGAGTCGTGGGTCAAAAGACTGTAGAATTGTTAGTTCTGTCCCATTTCTTATCCTCTCGTTAACAAGAATTTGGATCCATTTGCTATGACATTGACTAAAATCGTCAGGCCCAGTCCCAAAAATTAAAAGCTCGGTTACACATCTCAAATTTTTTCGCGCCTGCGGCGCTCGATTCAATTATAACATCATTCTTCCACTCCTCTATTGTCTTATACTGTCTCGGCACTATCATATTCACGGTTATACTGAACTGCCTAGTTATGTTAGTAGTGCCACTGGCACTGGTGTGTGGGTCACGTGGGGCGGCAGACTATACAAAAGTTCTGTCAACTCTTGCAAAACAGGCGGAATTGGCAGGGGCAGATCTCGAGATTTTGTCTAATTGACTCACATTTCTGGCCCCCTCGTCCACAAGAATTTCTCCCAGCAATGACCTCAAATGCCAAGATATTGACTCAATTTTTCAAAATTTTCTCAGGTTGCTCAGTGTTATAGGCACAACCCCTATCTAGATCCGCTACTTCACATGGCCCCTACAAAACTCGCACCTGTGGTGCTCGGTTCCTGATTGCGTCACTCGTACTAGGGGTATGGGCATCAGTCGGTCGCATTTTCGCTAAACACCCCCCCAAACAAAATCGTTATGTACGCCCCTGCCCAAAGCATCAACCAATCAAATTGCTTATCTCTGGTTACCCTAAGCAGAAAATGCTCATCTTTAAACTCCATCAAGGCATTGACCTAATACACACCTACACCAAGTTTGAACATTCTAGTTTAATTAGAACTCTAGTCTCGGCCAATCAATTTGTTAATCGCTCTGCTTACCCTGAGCAGAAAATACTTATTATCGAACTTAGTCAAGGTATTGATGTAATGAAACTATACACCAAGTTTCATCACTCTCACTTAATTAGAACTAAAGTTATCGTGTTCCAAAGCATCAACCAATCAAATGGCTTATCACTTATTACCCATAGCAGAAAATGCTCATCTTCGAACTTGATCAAGGCATTGACCTATTAAACACCTACAACAAGTTTGAACATTCTAGCTCAATTAGGAGAGTTATTGTGTTCTAGCTCAATTAGAAAGTGAGTTATTGTGTCCCAAAAAGTGTGACAGACAGACTGACGGAAGGACAAACCCATTTAAATAGTCCCCTGCTTTCCTCGAAAGGCGGGGGACAAAGAAAGTATTGGCCCTGGATCCAGAATGACAAACTAATCAAAAATATCAATACTCTTCTCACCAATTCAACACACCAGCCCAATACCCTTGCTCTTCTAATATTGTCTTCTGTAGGATTTGGAACAAGTTGACAATATGATGTAACAACAGCTATACCTCGATTCTTTTTACCAAAGGGTACATTATATTCTATAACCTAAAATAATTAATACCAGTACATTATTTATAATCATCATGATGCTGTAAGATACATTCATTTGAGAAGTGACACTACATATATCTACAGAAATACCATATTGTTACTTCATTTACCACACATCCCAGGTCTCCCTTTTTATTTATTTCCTTTAATTTGTAGTCATATTGGCAGATAAAAGCAATCTACTTAACCTCAAGGAAACATATTTTAAAGTTTGCAAACCCAAATAACTCAAATATTGGATGTTAAAGACCACGTAAGATCAAAAATCTAAATTTAATGTACGTATAGCCCATGGTTACTGTATCAACTTTACGGCAAGTTCACACCTATCTGTTTAAAATTAAGTCCGCTGTTAACGTTTTAGTATCCGACACGCCAAAACGCTTTACGATTTTTCAATTACGACCTTAATCCGGTTGATTGGCTGGTGACGTCACAGGCACTACACATAGGATATACATTATGTATACAATATCTCACTGTCTGTACAATATAGCACTATCAATACACACGGCAACTGGACAAGCATCTATTGACGGTCCAATTACCACGTGACTGGCCTAATCATAATCACCGAATTATCGTCTTTCATTGGTATAGATTAAACATTTGTGATTGGAATATTTTAGAGTGAATTTAAAATGCCGTAGATCAATTTAAGCTGCCTTTGTTTAAATAGGCCACGTGTCAAATGAAGATGACTCAAGCAATTAGCGCATTTACCGGTAATTTGGATAACCCCGTAATACTTGATATCCCAAACTTAAGTACAGAAATACAAATGATGCCAGTCAATTGTCGATATATTCATTATTAGCTATTCATAATAATAATAACCATTTCTATACACAAAGAACAACTTGTATCGTAACTCAATTTGAAATTCACAGCGAATATGGAATTTTCCGATGAGCATGCATAGATCGCCCTCATTTCTCAGCCAATCAACGTTGGGAATCTTATTGCCATGTACGGTTCAATGCACTACGGGCGTAGTTACTGAGGTTAAACTTTGGCGCGAAAATTCCATGGGATTCATGGACATGAATATCAAATACGCAGAGTTCCTGATGCCGTTTGGTGAGTGATTAAACTGTCAATGCAATTGTAAAATACTTTTATTATAAAGAATATTTCATATCAAGTCAATTAAATGTTGTTTAAAAGCCAGTCAACAAATAATGCGATGCTACTTGATTACAAAAACACAACAATTAAATAATAATTATAAACAACTGATGAGTAAAACAATAAATGTGTGTGTACGATTCTACCATTAGTTCATTTGAAGGTACGACACGTTGCACCTAGAGTGATGCCTTTGATCTGGCCGGCGTAAAAAAGATAATTACCTAATCAGCATTCTTAATCCCACTAACAATCACTACTAACACCGAGATGTAAATTAATTAATGACCCCCAAATCTGTATAAGTTTAGTCGGATTGATTAATTAATGACTGATGTTAACGACACGACTATTATTATCAATACACAAAGATAGTTAGATGACACTTCTCAATCTGTCTGTTATTCCATTTTGATGGTTACCAACAAAATTTATTTGTCCTGTATATTGAGATATTTTTTCGCATTTCATTTTTACGGTCTATTTCAGAGTAATAAAGTCAAATCCGCCGTACAACGATAAAGGATCGTCATTTACAAATCGCTTTTCATTCATGTTTGACTTTTATGATACAATTTGCGTGACCACATCTTTTTACCCCTTTACTTTTTTACTCGGGGAAATTAGAACCACAATACTCTTTTGACGAAAATGTATCTCTAATCAATTGGACTGCACACGATGTATTAAAAGGGTACTAAAATTGCTGTCATGAGAAACCAATTCTAAATTGAATCTTAAATTAAAATGAATTACAAAACAAATTATTCCGTAGTCAATTGTTTTATTTAATTAAGGAACTAAGGGGGATTAAGGAACCAGTCAGGCGTTAATGAGTACACACGCCGGCTGTATATACATGTAGGTAATTAAGGAATAAACATTCCGAATATGCATTCGGTCACTGTGACGTCACTGGCGTCTGAGGGGATTAAGAGTGTTTTCGATAAATGGCAAAGTCGTTTTTACGGGAGGTCCATTTTTACGACTTTGAGTGAAGATAACTGAATTAATTTCAATCAGATTGATGTGAACTTGCCGTAAAGTTGATATTGTAACCATTGGCTACACATATCCAAAAGTTTCCAAGCCCATCTTATGTGCACTTTAATGAAATATTTGAGAATATCATTAATAATACCGCCAGTACATGTCAAGGTTTAAACTAGAAATAGGGACATCATACAGTTTTCGATTCTGTTTGTTTATTCCATTGCATTTGGTTATATTCACACTAATTGTCTAGTAGGCTATTTAATAAATGAATAATTAAATCGTTCATTAAAAGTTAAAAAAACAAAAGCTCTTTTATTACATTTCTCAACCCTTGCTTCACTTTCCTCATTATCATTATTAAACACACAGTCATGCTTTATTTAGTAAGTTATACCGTACCTGCTTAATAAAAGTGGACTTTTACAAGAGAAAAAAAAAACAGCGGTTGCCAGGCAAGATACGCTCACATTTTGCAAGAGATGGATAGAGAACAAGATAAAAACAAAAGCGATTATTTGTACAATCAGGGGCCATAATCCAGAAATTTCTGGTCTGAAATGTGCAAATACATGTAGGGACTGAGATCTTTGGGATATAAAGATATATTTTAAGTTTCATCAAAACAACCCTCATATTACATACTTTTACACACTTTGCGTACAAAGAGCGGCCATTTTTCAGGCATTTTGTTTCAATTTTCCGTGATATATTTAAACGATTTTTAAAATTGGATAAAAAATTGTGACCTCTAGAGAATCCACAAACTAACCAGCAGCTGCCAGGCAGAAAACGCCCACATTTTGCAAGAGATGGATAGAGAAAAAGCTAAACACTAAGCGATTTTTTGTAACATCAAGGGCCGTATTTTGGGAAGGTACGATCAGATATGTGCGAATATCGACAGGAACCAAGATGTTTGGGTTATAAACATGCAATTCTAGTTTCATTAAAATTGGATCAAATGTCACACTATATCTTACAGATAACAGAAGATCAGCATAATTGATAAGACCTTTATTGAGAACATGAAATAGACATAAATCAGGAGGAGCTCTATTCCAAGCCCTGACTTGCTGTCAGTAAGTTTAACTCCTGCTTATATAGCGTCTAACAATCAGGGAAGATGGACAGGAGTGATAATCATATATGGTATTGTTTATTAGCAAATTATGGTGTCTGTATTTACTGCATATTTCTTTGGAAGTCATTGTCAGGTCAAGGTATGGGATGCACTGACCACTAATACATTCTCTTTGAAGTTCTGTCTAGTGTTATACACGGATCACGTGTAGCTTGTAAACAACATATTGAATAAATTAGATGTTTAATAAGATCGTGCCTTAACAGAAGTTTATAGAGAGTTTAAACGTCAACTTCAGGTATAGATCACTTTGTCACACAAAACTGTGACCTCTAGAGGGTCCACAACCTTGATATACCAGATGTTTACACATTTGCGTCGAGGGGCAGCCATTTGGTTTGGCAGATTTTGTCCGATTTTCACGAAATTTGAACTCAACCAACATCACGGTGTAACGGTGATATATTCGAACATTTTTGTAAATCAGATAATAATTGTGACCTCTAGAGGGACCACAAGCTAAAAAGATAGGTTGCCAGGCAACGAAACATATGCCCACAGCAGCTAAATGGTCCGGGCAGTCAACACGAATTGTCGCATATTTTTACTTTTTTCGGTAATAAAACATTTATAATACACTAAAATCTGATTAAGAGCAACAACACATGAAGTAATTATCAGAAAACCATTAGAATTTGTTTGGTTTTATAAAGTTCTGCCTAATGCTAACGTTTTGTATACAAAACTTTTAATATCATGGATTTAGCTGTTCAAGTCATATAAATTCATTGAAAATCAATATACTTGTTCGTCTCAAGATCTTGTATCAATCTGAAGTCAATCGGATGATAACTTTAGCCTTTAGAGCGTCACAAAGTGATCAAGGGCCATAACATTGGCAGTAATTATTGGGAATTGTTGAAAATCAATAGGATTCTTCGTCTCATGACCTTAAACACTGTGTATAAATTTAAGGTCAATCTGATATTAACTTTGGCCTCTAGAGTGCCTACAAGATTTCTTTTTTTTTTATAAGCAATATTTTATTCAGATTTGTCAGATATAAAATCATGTATTTACATTTTAGAAATAGATAATCAATGTACACACGCAAGCGTGATTATAGTGAAAATATATTTCTTGAAGTGATCAAGGGCCATAACTCTGGCAGTAATTATCGGAAATTGCTGAAAATCAATAGGCTTCTTCGTCTCATGACCTTAAACACTGTGTATATTAACTTTGGCCTCTAGAGCGTCCACAAGATTTTTCAAAGTGATCAAGGGCCATAACCCTAGCAGTAATTATCGGAAATCGCTGAAGTTCAATAGGCTTTTTCGTCTCATGACCTTAAACACTGTGTATAAATTTAAAGTCAATCGGATATTAACTTTGGCCTTTAGAGCATCCACAAGATTTTTTGAAGTGATCAAGGGCCATAACTCCGGCAGTAATTATTGGAAATCGCTGAAAATCAATAGGCTTCTTCGTCTCAAGACCTTTAACACTGTGTATAAATTTAAATTCAATCAGATATTTACTTTAGCCTCTAAAGCTTCCACAAGCAATTGTGGACACTGGACCGCCGGATTGACGGGGGTGAGCACAATATATGACCACATTTAAATGTGGGAGTATAAACAGGATTTTTCGTACAATCAGGGGCCATAATTCAGGAAGTTACGATCCTATATGCGCAAATATCGACAGCAACCAAAATTTTTGGGTTATAAACATTGTTTTCTAGTTTCATCAAAATCGGATCAAAATTGTGACCTCTAGAAGGCCC